CTTACGTCGAGATAGTTGTGTATTTTTCTACTGCATGGCCAGTGTGAGACAGAATGCTAACTAGCCAACTACATACAGTGGGGGGAAAAAGTATTTAGTCAGCCACCAATTGTGCAAGTTCTCCCACTTAAAAAGATGAGAGAGGCCTGTAATTTTCATCATAGGTACACGTCAACTATGACAGACAAATTGAGAGAAAAAAAATCCAGATAATCACATTGTAGGATTTTTAATTAATTAATTTGCAAATTATGGTGGAAAATAAGTATTTGGTCACCTACAAACAAGCAAGATTTCTGGCTCTCACAGACCTGTAACTTCTTCTTTAAGAGGCTCCTCTGTCTTCCACTCGTTACCTGTATTAATGGCACCTGTTTGAACTTGTTATCAGTATAAAAGACACCTGTCTACAACCTCAAACAGTCACACTCCAAACTCCACTATGGCCAAGACCAAAGAGCTGTCAAAGGACACCAGAAACAAAATTGTAGACCTGCACCAGGCTGGGAAGACTGAATCTGCAATAGGTAAGCAGCTTGGTTTGAAGAAATCAACTGTGGGAGCAATTATTAGGAAATGGAAGACATACAAGACCACTGATAATCTCCCTCGATCTGGGGCTCCACGCAAGATCTCACCCCGTGGGGTCAAAATGATCACAAGAACGGTGAGCAAAAATCCCAGAACCACACAGGGGGACCTAGTGAATGACCTGCAGAGAGCTGGGACCAAAGTATCAAAGCCTACCATCAGTAACACACTACGTCACCAGGGACTCAAATCCTGCAGTGCCAGACGTGTCCCCCTGCTTAAGCCAGTACATGTCCAGGCCCGTCTGAAGTTTGCTAGAGTGCATTTGGATGATCCAGAAGAGGATTGGGAGAATGTCATATGGTCAGATGAAACCAAAATAGAACTTTTTGGTAAAAACTCAACTCGTCGTGTTTGGAGGACAAAGAATGCTGAGTTGCATCCAAAGAACACCATACCTACTGTGAAGCATGGGGGTGGAAACATCATGCTTTGGGGCTGTTTTTCTGCAAAGGGACCAGGATGACTGATCCGTGTAAAGGAAAGAATGAATGGGGCCATGTATCGTGAGATTTTGAGTGAAAACCTCCTTCCATCAGCAAGGGCATTGAAGATGAAACGTGGCTGGGTCTTTCAGCATGACAATGATCCCAAACACACCGCCCGGGCAACGGGAGTTGCCAAGGAGTGGCTTAGTAAGAAGCATTTCAAGGTCCTGGAGTGGCCTAGCCAGTCTCCAGATCTCAACCCCATAGAAAATCTTTGGAGGGAGTTGAAAGTCCGTGTTGCCCAGCGACAGCCCCAAAACATCACTGCTCTAGAGGAGATCTGCATGGAGGAATGGGCCAAAATACCAGCAACAGTGTGTGAAAACCTTGTGAAGACTTACAGAAAACGTTTGACCTGTGTCATTGCTAACAAAGGGTATGTAACAAAGTATTGAGAAACTTTTGTTATTGACCAAATACTTATTTTCCACCATAATTTGCAAATAAATTCATTAAAAATCCTACAATGTGATTTTCTGGAAAACATTTTCTTTTTTTTTCTGTCATAGTTGACGTGTACCTATGATGAAAATTACAGGCCTCTCTCATCTTTTTAAGTGGGAGAACTTGCACAATTGGTGGCTGACTAAATACTTTTTTTCCCCACTGTATGCCATTCACTTGGATATCACGTACAATAGGAGATGTTCCAAAATATGCATTATTCTGAAGTAAAGATTTTATCCCATTAGGTTTAGCTTTTATAACAGTGTCATATTCCTTGCTTGAAACCTCAAAGTTGTATCTTTCCATAAATTCTCTCTGTGTAAATAGATTCCCACTAATACTAACTAATTGGCTGACAAGGACAATGTTTTTCAAGAACCAGTCACAGTAATATAACATCTTGTTTCTATGTAATATCGACCCATTATTCCATATATGAGGTGAAAAGTTGTGTTTATACAGAAAAGCCCAGCACATTAAAGCCTGCTTGTGAAAAGCCGCCAATTTCACAGGAAGTTCACCCACAATATAGGGACATTGTAGTAAAAAATTAAGCCCTCCAAGCTTCTGAAAAACAAAATGAGGTATAACATTCCAGAAACGATGAGGATTTTTTAAGTACCTTTTAACCCAGTTGACTATTGATATCTGATTAAAGAGAGTGAAGTCTAAGAGATTTAGGCCGCCATCACAAACCCTGTTGGTGATAACATCGCTTTTTATCTTATGTGGCTTGTTTTTCCATATGAAGTTGTACAATAGCCTATCTAAGGTACAGCAAGTGGATTTGGGAATGTCAATAGATGAAAAAAGATAGGATGCGTGAGATAGCCCCTCAGCTTTGGATAAAAGCACCCTCCCTCGAAGACTTAAATCCCTCCCTAACCATGAGGAAAACGTATTTTTGATAGATTCAGTTACAGGATTCAAATCAAGATCATTCACAGCCTTAAGATTTTTGGTGACCTTTACAACGAGGTATGTAACAGTATCTTTTTCAGAGATGTTACAATCTGCTGGATTGACTGTTCCTTTCAGGACAAACATCTCACATTTGGAAAGATTTAATACCAAACCTGAGATTTTGGAGAACTGCTTCACAATATCCAATGCCAATCTAGCTTGTGACACATTATTCAAAAAAAGTGAGGTGTCGTCCGCCAGTTGGGATATCTTGAGCTCTCTGGCCTGGAATGTAATGCCTTCAAATTGACTTTGATGAACTAATGAGCATAAGGTTTGAGAAACTAACAACAAAAAAAGTTGAGATTGGACAACCTTGTCATATTCCTTTGTAAATGTTCAACCTTGAGGATGTCCCTTGACAGAGTTTGATACAGCTATTGCTACCATTATACAGAGTTCAAATAGCATCAACAAAACAATTACCAAACTTCAAATGCTTAAGACAATCAAAGATAAAATGGTGACTTACGGTATCAAATGCTTTCTGAAAATCCAAAAATAAGATAACAGGGGAGTCATCCAATAGATCACAATACTCAACCAAATCTAACACCAGCCTCAGATTAGTAGATATATGGTGCCCTTTCATAAACCCAGATTGACATTCATCAATCAGATCATTCAAGCACGACTTTAACCTTTTCGCAAAGGCTATAATTTTGTAGTCGTTATTTAGGAGTGTGATTGGACGCCAATTATCAATAATTAAGAGATCCTTTTGTGGTTTAGGTATAAGAGTAATAACCCCTTGTTTCAGAGAGGCAGGTAGTTCTCCCTTCTTTATAGCCTCTTTAAAGGTTTCAAGTAAGAATTGTGCTATTTCTTCAGAGAAGGTTTTGTAAAATTCAGAGGTTAATCCATCACAACCTGGAGACTTGTTATTTCTTAATTGAGCAACCCCATATTGGATGTCCATAATGGATAAATCTTCACAACAAGACCGATTGAATTCTTCACTAACAGAGTTAACATTCCCTATAGAATCAAGGAGATCCTTAGTCACTCAAACTGTTATCTAAGGAGTAAAGATTCTCATAAAACTTAATGGTAAAGTCTGATAACAACTCTCTATCCTCAGAGGTTACTCCATTAATCTTAAGTTTCCGAAGTACCCCTCTCCTCTTTTCCAAATTAAAAAAGTATCTACTGTTCTTTTCGCCTTTTTCAAGCCATTGTTTTCTGGACCTTATGAAGGCTCCTCTAGCCTTTTCCTCATAAAATGTATCTAGTTGATTCTGTAAATCATTCAACTTAGCTTTCTCATTAAGATCAAGATGCTCGATCTCTGTGATATCAGCAATTTTCTTCGAGAGCTCAGCTACTTCACATCACCTTCTTAAAGCAAGCCGTTTCCCGTAAGTAATACAGGCTGAGTGGATTTTAAATTTCAGCAGTTCCCAATATTTCCCATATTCTGCATTAGAGGTAGCTACATTCCAGTAAACAGAAATTAGATTCTTAATCACATTTTTTTAATCATCATGCAATAACAATGAGTTATTCAACTTCCAAAAACCACCAGAGTATTTCTTATCATCATTACTGCACATTCTCACAGTCAGCCATATGACTTTATGATCCGTCAGGACTGCAGGCAGTATTTTTACCTCTACAGTGTTGGGCTCAAGACTAGAGGTTATCACCCACAAGTCAATTCTTGATTGTAGTGAACGATCTCTATTACTCTATGTGTACTGTTTCTCTCCAGGGTTTTTAACTCTCCATATGTCAGTTAAGTCCAGGCTTTGGTAGAAATTCACCAAGTTGGTCACACCGATGTTAGGCCTATGGGGCAATCTATCAGTCCCATTATAATAAACCATGTTAAAATCCCCACTAACTATAATCTGACTGGATGGATATTTTCTCAGAAGACTTTTAAGAATGTCCTCAATTTCCTCAAGAAGTAAGTTATTTGGAGGACTAGAACAGTATCCATATACATTACACAACACAAATAATCTGTCCATGTGGTTGATGACCTCTACTAGCCAATGTCCATTGGTGTCCATTTGAGTAAACAAAAATGTCCCTCTGAAATTGTGTGCTAAAATTGCAACCCCAGCAGAATGATTAGTCCCGTGGTCCAAGAAAATGTCACTGCCCCACTGATTTTTCCAAATATTATAATCCTCTTTGCATGAATGTGTTTCTTGAACGAATACAAGATATGCGTTGCAGTCCTTACAAAAAAAAAGCTTTCGTCTTCAACAGGTTTCGTTATGGCATTAACTTCAAATCCATATACACAAAATAGAAAGGAAAATCCTATGCAATCTCAACTCTACCCTCTCTATAAAAGGTGCTTCATATATGTATTAATAATAATAATAATAATAATAATAAATAATAATAATAATAATAATAATAATTATTATTATTTATTAATTAACATAAGTCTTAACTTGTAAACCATAACACCAGAATTCAAAACTAGAATGCTCAGTTTGTTGTGGGGAAGGGGCTACCTTGTAAGCCTACCGGTGGAGCAAATCAACCCGGTCAAATTTATTTTCCGTCGGCGAAAAAGGCTCTGATTCCCCTGTAGTATGCACCACTTCCTTGATTTCGGGCCTGTTGGACGAGAGGCCACAACTTTGCCTTTGCTGCCTTGTCTGCTGCAATCAGGTCCTTACCGAATCTACATTTCTACTTTCCTTTGCTTTCTTCCAAACTGCATCTCTAGCTGTGCGGAAAGCGAACTGGATGATGATCGAGCGGCTGCTGATGGCATCTTGCTTCTACCCAATACGATGAGTGACATCCACAGCCATGTCCATATATCCTTCGGGGAAGTCCAGAGCCACACGGTTACAGATGTCACTTACTATGCGCTTCACATTCTCACCATGGTCCTCTGGGACACCGTAAAGCCGCAGCCCCCACCTTCTCCGGTATCGCTCTGCTTCCGACAAGCCCTTGTCAGCTATGGTCTTCTCCTGTGCAGTGCATTTATCAGAGGTTGCAGTGTTTGCACGTTTAAGCTCTTCTATACTCTCGTATGCATGATTCAGAGAGGTCTCGAGGTCAACGATTTTTTATGTGTTTTCGCGTAGCATTTTCTCCAGAATCATCGGCTCTTTCGTTTATCTTTGCAGTGACAGCATCGATTATGTTGGCCTGGAGTTCGCGCAAAGACAATTCTTTCTGTGTCTTTTTGGGTGCAGGCCGATTGGCTGGAGATTCTGAATCAACCGAATGTCTAGATTCCTCCATTTCTTCTCCCGAGGAGTCAGGTGGCGGTTTCTCTCCGGTGTATGAGTGGTCAGCTAGCAACTGCCTTCTCATCCCTTTGCTCTTTCGAACATATTCTACTTCCATTTTGCCAAGTTTCAGATCAAATTAGCGGTCTACTGAGCGTTGTGCTCTGTTGTTTACTAGAAACCGGGTTTTGTAACATGTAAGTACATTTGAGAGGGATACAGGCCTCCTGTAGCTCAGTTGGTAGAGCATGGCGCTTGCAATGCCAGGGTTGTGGGTTCGTTTCCCACGGGCCAGTATGAAAAATGTATGTACTCACTAACTGTAAGTCGCTCTGGATAAGAGCATCTGCTAAATGACAAAAAAAACTAAAAATACGGTTATTCAGATCACGATAAAATCTATTTTGCGCTCGCCGCCATTTTCAGCCAGTTGTTGTTGCCCATGGTGAAATCATATCTAACCCACAGGCTCCTGAAGCATGTTATGTCCCCACACGTGCTCCCGAGACTAGCTAACATTAGCTAGCATCAATAATTAGCATTTCGCTACCTATTTTTTCATTTTATTTTAACCTTTATTTAACTAGGCACGTCAGTTAAGATCAATTTGTTATTTACAATGATGGCCTATCCAGCTAGCTGTATTATAACAAAATGGATGATACACTATAGCTAGCTGGCAAGCCATCCTCAGTGACAATGTTATTGTGGCGAAGGAATGTCAGATAAGTGTTTTAATTTCATGTTAACTGTCATTGACGTTGATGTTTACTACTGGTTTCAGATCTGAAGCAAGATAAATTGTCCGCCATGTTTTGTATTTCGTTAAGAAAGCTCAACCAATCACCCGATGGGTCCTATGTCGAGACTTATGAATATTCATGACATTGCCCCCTTCCTGCTGAAGGGAATTTAGACTCTCTGCAAACCCCTTGTGAACACTTAAAACAAAGGAACTGTAGTACTGTAGGCAACATATTTCTTGTCTAAGACAAGTTGTCTGATGGAGAAACAATAGCTTCCACAATGGATCCGGTAAGTCTGGTTTCCTTTTAACAGTATTTATTTTCATTTAACTAGGCAAGTCAGTTAAGAACAAATTCTGATTTACAATGACTGCCTACCCCGGCCAAACCTTACCCTAACCCGGACGACGCTGGGCCAATTGTGCGCCGCCCTATGGGACTCCCGATCACGACCGGTTGTTATACAGCCCGGGATCGAACCAGGGTCTGTAGTGACGCCTCTAGCACTGAGATGTAGTGCCTTAGACCGCTGCACCACGCGGGAGCCCTGCCCTGCTGTGCTGTATAAAATAACACAGTGGGGAAAATAAGTATTTAGTCAGCCACCAATTGTGCAAGTTGAGTTTTTACCAAAAAGTTATATTTTGGTTTCATCTGACCATATGACATTCTCCCAATCCTCTTCTGGATCATCCAAATGCACTCTAGCAAACTTCAGACGGGCCTGGACATGTACTGGCTTAAGCAGGGGGACACGTCTCGCACTGCAGGATTTGAGTCCCTGGCGGCGTAGTGTGTTACTGATGGTAGACTTTGTTACTTTGGTCCCAGCTCTCTACAGGTCATTCACTAGGTCCCCCCGTGTGGTTCTGGGATTTTTGCTCACCGTTCTTGTGATCATTTTGACCCCACGGGGTGAGATCTTGCGTGGAGCCCCAGATCGAGGGAGATTATCAGTGGTCTTGTATGTCTTCCATTTCCTAATAATTGCTCCCACAGTTGATTTCTTCAAACCAAGCTGCTTACCTATTGCAGATTCAGTCTTCCCAGCCTGGTGCAGGTCTACAATTTTCATCATCTTTGATCCTCCACATTAATGTGTTCTGTGTTGATGGCTGAACAAAAAAAAACGATGGTAAAAGTTGTTGGGATTTTTTTTCATTCAAAAAAGTAACCTACTACTCTCTCCAACACTTGTAAATCAACTACTGGAGGTGGGAGTAGCCATGGTGGACTCACAGGGATAGGTACCGTGGGGCTAAAGTCCCTACCATACAATCCCATCTGCCTTGCCTGGTTATCACCCACCCATCCAAAGGTTTTATTCTGTCCATGTTCATGCTCCCAACTTTTCTGTAGAACCCCTTTTGTGGGGTGACACACCCCATGTTCCAATAATTAATTGTCTTCTAATATGTAACGGCAATGAAAGATATGTCTTAAAAAATGAAAGGCAGTCGGGAGGAGGCAAGATCAGGTGGGACCATTCTAGCCAATGAGAGGGCAGATACGCATGTGAACAACACTAGTTACCACAAACACAAAGTCAAAAATGTATAGCGTAGAAATTCATGAAAAAAAATGCGGTTAGGGTCAGGCATAAGGTTAGCAGTGTGGTTAAGGTTAGGATTAGGATTATACTTTAAGAAGATAAATTGTAGAAATAGGCGTGGTTCATGACTTTGTGGTTGTGGTAACTAGTGATGACCTTGCACAATCCCGAAACATTTTTTTTTTCTCAAAATTTTTCCAACACGTCACGTGACCTACTTTTATCAGTACACTAGTAACAACCTAATAATTATGAAATGTATATTCGATCAAATAAGCCACAAGTCGCCTCTTCCTCTCTGTTTTGAAAGGGAATGACTGGTGTAAGAAATATGGTGGAAACTCTGACTAGCCCATGCCTCCACCAACCCAATGCCATTAGATTTGTGGGAAGTAGTGAATGATTGAACATTTCAGGAAGAATTAGATATTCTAGGGATGCACCCAAATCAATCGGAGGTGTAGACTAAATTAATCAAATATTTTGTTTAATGATAAACAGTTTAATGTTTATTGTGGCCAACAGGACAAAGCTAGCCCGTTCCCCTCCACCCTCCAGGAGTCCCCAGGTCGACCGCCTCCCGGTACTTTACTGCTGGGTCTGGTCGACTGCAGGAAAACACCGGGGCAGAGTGGAACTGAGAGAGGAGGAGGAGAAGAGAAGGAAGATGGAGATTTCATTTCATTAAGTAAGAACCATGGTGTGTAGATTAGACTACAGTTTGCCTCTGTAACAATAGCGGAGGTGCTTAAAGATGGCGGCCCGCATGTAATAATAATAATAATAATAATAATAATAATATGCCATTTAGCAGACGCTTTTATCCAAAGCGACTTACAGTCATGCGTGCATACATTTTTGTGTATGGGTGGTCCCGGGGATCGAACCCACTACCTTGGCGTTACAAGCGCCGTGCTCTACCAGCTGAGCTACAGAGGACCACGTACCACGACCATGTACTTACCACAAATTCCTCATTTTGCTAAGTTCACTGTATTGTACATTTCTCTCCTTTACTGTTTTTTTTATATGGTCATTAGCACAATAAACATGATCCCAATTTTAGCTTCAAGACAACGGCAAATTGAAAAAACTAAAAAGTAGATTGTGTTGATTTATTGGAACAGTGGATAGTGCTAAAACAATGACGTAATATCATAATTCTGCCATCTTTATGCATTTTCGTCATTCATTGATTAATTATATATTGATGAAAATATCTAGGTAATTCCACCCATTTTTAAAAGTGTAACTTTTTAACATTCTGTCATAAAAAGCACATGTTCAACTTAATAAAAAAACATGTTTTCCCATCTCAAGACATTGAATAAAAATATTACTATACTAAGTGCCTATGTGCCAAATAATGTAACAGGGGAGTACTGAAAACAACAAAACCACTGGATTACGTGGGTAAAATAGTCCTTTAAATCAGCAATAAAACCGATTGTGATGGGGAATGGAAGGTTGTTTTGTGCAACAGGGAGTGGCAAATGAATGCAATCTTCACAAAAAAATCTAATTGTTAAAACATTTCCAGCATGTCTATGTATGGGTAAATGGGTTGACTTGCTCAGTTTTCCACCACAAAACAGCAGTACATTTACAAAAAGAGTAGAACCAGCTCACCTGCTTTTACTCTATGATTTGACTATTAGATGTTCAATGCTTCTTTTGAAAAAACATTTTTTTTTAAAGGAATAGTTTCACCATATTAAAACGAGACTTCAGTGCATGTAACGGGGTTGACCTTAAAATGAGGGACAGACGTACAGTTGAAGTCGGAAGTTTACATACACCTTAGCCAAATACATTTAAACTCAGTTTTTAACATTTTCTGACATTTAATCCTAGTAAAAAATGTCCTGTTTTAGGTCAGTTAGGATCACCACTTTATTTTAAGAATGTGAAACGTCAGAATAATAGCAGAGAAAATAATTTATTTCAGCTTTTATTCAATTCATCATTAATTAATTAATATTCCCAGTGAGTCAGAAGTTTACATACACTCAATTAGTATTTGGTAGCATTGCGTTTAAATTGTTTAACTTGGGTCAAACGTTTCGGGTAGCCTTCCACAAGCTTCCCACAATAAGTTGGGTGAATTTTGGCCCATTCCTCCTGACAGAGCTGGTGTAACTGAGTCAGGTTTGTAGGCCTCCTTGCTCGCACATGCTTTTTCAGTTCTGCCCACACATTTTCTATAGGATTGAGGTCAGGGCTTTGTGATGGCCACTCCAATACCTTGACTTTGTTGTCCTTAAGCCATTTTGCCACAACTTTGGAAGTATGCTTGGGGTCATTGTCCATTTGGAAGAAAAATTTGCGACCAAGCTTTAACTTCCTGACTGATGTCTTGAGATTTTGCTTCAATATATCCACATAATTTCGCTTCCTCATGATGCCATCTATTTTGTGAAGTGCACCAGTCCCTCCCGCAGCAAAACACCCCCACAGCATGATGCTGCAAACCCCCGTGCTTCACGGTTGGGATGGTGTTCTTCGGCTTGCAAGCCGCCCCCTTTTCCCTCCAAACATAACGATGGTCATTATGGCCAAACAGTTCCATTTTTGTTTCATCAGACCAGAGGACATTTCTCCAAAAAGTACGATACTTGTCCCCATGTGTAGTTGCAAACCGTAGTCTGGCTTTTTTATGGTGGTTTTGGAGCAGTGGCTTCTTCCTTGCTGAGCGGCCTTTCAGGTTATGTCAATATAGGACTCGTTTTTACTGTGGATATAGATACTTTTGTACCTGTTTCCTCCAGCCTCTTCACAAGGTCCTTTGCTGTTGTTCTGGGATTGTTTTGCACTTTTCGC